TTGGTCTAATGAATGAAAGGCACGATTGACCTCAGTCGCAAATAATCTGCGCTTTACCGATGACCAAAGTTGTTCGAAAAGAGGGTGAGTAGCATGACAAGGATTAAAAGGGGCTAATGAAAAATGGCTTGATAAATGGAGGTTGCGAGCGTTTATAGCCTCTGCTTCCACCTTATTAATGGTATGAAAACGGTCGTTTAAGTTCTTCGAATAGCAAAGAGGAACAGGCCAAGTTTGGCCGAAACCAAGCTGCCGAGCAAAAAATTGGGGAGCATAAATTTCTACCCCAACTTTGGCATTGGTCCCAGTCAAGATATCGTGGAAAAGCTCCCTCCCAGTTAAGAACTGGATCCAAATTAGAAGAGAGGTGCTCGCGCTATCTAGAGTGGAAGGAGGATGTACATAGTCTGGAGTTAAAAAAAGGAGGAAAAGGAAAGAAGGAAGAGATTGAATCTAAAGAATAAAAGAATGAAAAAATGTCCCTTCTGGACATACTTACAGGAGTTAAAGGCTCCATAGCTAGCCCGTAAAAGCTAGCAGAAGGACGAGAAATGGATGGAGCACCAAGCGATGGAAAATAGGATCTCAACCACAGTTGAGTGAACCAAAGAGGTCCACTGCCAGTAGGAGATGCACCATTCTTCAATTGAGCCTGAAAAAAAGCCATACCTCTATAAAGGGCAGCCAAAAACAAAGAACATAAATTCAAAGGCTTGCCACGCGCCAGTTCGTGCGCTATAGGTAGATAACTCAGAGAGGGCTTTATACTAGGCACGCACAACACATATTTACAAAGCCAAACTAAAAGGAAGGCCACTCGCTCAGCATGAGTAAGCTCAACACTCGAATGATTGTGGAGTGTCTGCAGGCTTGAATAAGAATCGGTATAGTTTTTACTGAACTGTGGGGCGCCACCAGAAACTAAGATGCCTGGGAAAATGGTATCGCCCAAAGGTGGTAAATTTACCAGGGCCCTAACATCCCTTAACGTAATAGACATGGGGCCAAGAGGAAAAATAAAGGTGTTTTACTCAGAGGACCAAAAGCTCAAAGCAATCGGAAAGAGCGCTGAATCAAAAGTAGGGGAGCGAATAGAGACTTCCAACAAATCAGAAATTCTAGCGCTATCAAAAAGTGCCTTAGTAGGACCATGACCCACAAGACGAGCATGCCACCTACGAAAAGCTACGTCAGATTTGGGCCAAGTGCGAATACCTCTTTCACGAAATGGCTCCAGCGGCAAAGAATTCAAAAAAGGAGGGCCATGAGTGCAAGGAAACAGCTGACCCACCGCCGCCTGTTCAACTGCCTCCGCACTGTTGAAGAAAGGACCCAAGTAAAACTCATTACGTCCAACATCGGTGGGCGCGAGAAAACTTGGGGTTACGTATGAACGACTCAGAAGTTTCTGAAAGTCATCAAAACTAAAGGAGTCGCTAGCATGAGATTGTGAAGCAGCCATTGAAGAAAGAACGAAACTTTGCAGAGTTACGTAACAAGGAAGCAAAAGATGAACAGTGAATCGTGAAGGATGCGCAAGAAATATGAAACGTGATTTGGTAGCAGTAAAATGGCGTGTTTGGAGTTTATAAAGGTTTGCAAAGCGACGCACTTTTCAAGTTATAGAGGGAAACAATGATTGAAATTCTTTGGGAATTGCGAACGTTGCTGGAGACGTGAAGTGAATATGGCAAAATTCAATAATTATTATTAATTCTGCCACATTGGGGGGTAATTGTTGACACATAAAAATTCAGCCCAAATCGAACAGCCCAGAGAGTAAAGCCCAATTGGAGATCCCCAAATCAGACAGCCCAAAGAACGAAATCCAATTGAACAAATCAAGGTGAATGCCCAAATAAGCAGCCCAATAGTGCGGTAACGCCATCGCCCAAGTTTGCAAGTCGCTCAGAATCTGAACGAATAGAGTGGCATACGGTCGCCCAGAGTCTCGCCCAAATCTTCAAGTAGCCCAAGGTATCAACAAATATAACGCATTATGATTGTCAAGAAATGCAGTTATTGAGACAGTTGCTAAAGTAACCTTATCACGTTCCACGACTCAAGGGGTTCAATCGAAAGCGGTTGAACGATGCAAGATAATGGCAGCAGTTAAAAGGACAGTTTCATGACAAAATGGCCACTACAAAGAAAGTGGGTAGTTATAGGGCGATCAAGCAGTTTTTTAGAGCAGTTAATCACAAAGGGATCGCCTATGAAGTATAAAAGGGAGAAAGAACATAGAAGCAAGAGACCGAATCCAAAACTCTCGAACAGAGAATATGTAATTTTCATTCCTTTAGCTTTTAAACTTAAACACTTCTTTTTCTGTAACTCGTGTGCTTGCGCCCCTCGGAGGCACGTTGTTTTCCGTTTCCAATTGTAAAGTTCATCGCCAATAAAAAGAACACCCATTTTTGGGACTTTGTCTCAAGAGGTTTCGTCCCTTACACAATCGTCTGATCTTCTTTAATTGTTAGCGAATTAACACGCGCGAAACAACTTCTTCCCCTACTTTTTTGGGAGAGGGGAGATCATCGTAGTCTATATCAGCTCCAACGGATTCAGGACTTACCGGTAACAAAAGAAATACGGCTAGCCCGATAAAAGTTGTGCCTAGACCGGGAACAACCATGGACCAACCCCATCCATACTTCAACAAAATAGAAGCAACCAGAGACCCTGTAATGTTCCCAATCGAGGTGTGAGCATTCCATATACCCATTATAACTCCTCGCTTCTTCTTGCCGAACCAATTACCTATGACTGCAACAACAGAAGGCCAACCAGTCGATTGGAACAATCCGGCAAGCATTTGGACTATCAAGTAGTAATAAAAGATATGAACGTTCGCCCAATATCCAACTCCAAATAGAGCAGTGAATACACCAGTTCCCACCATTCCTATGGTCAGAAATCGTCTAAAATCCATTCGATCACCCATGTGCCTGGAGAAGAACATTCCGATAGCATAAACAAAGAGGAACCCCACGTCAAGTTCACCGAGCAATGATGTACCATCGGAACCATTAAATGGTTCCCAACCCGCTCCAAGCATCCATGAATTTCTAGTGATCTCCAATGGCTTGTGTGCATATGCCCTTCTCCACGAGAAGGACGATTTCAAGTTCACATCCGGTGATTGGGGATCGAGTGCACTTTTCACAATGCTAGTAGTTTTTCGTGTAGCGTGGTAAGCTGTGTACGCTAAAAAAGTTACTAATAGGACAATGGCTTGATAGGTTCGGTAAGAAATGGTCGATCTTTTTATGTACTCTGCAAATCGGATCCCCGGGGGCTTGCTGATTTTTATTTCTTGGACTGGTTCTGCAATTGAACCCATCAAAATCTTCTTTTTGTGATTAGATTTTCTCGAAAAAAGAATTTAAAACCTCCTCCAATTACAAGAACTCGAAACCTGAAACCCAGAAAAATAACCGTAAAGATGTGTTGAGCAACGTAGAAACTTGTACAAAATTCAGAAACAAGACAAAGACAAACATGTCAAAATCCATTTTCACACTCCAACCCCGGCCAATATTAAACAGAAGAACACCATTATTTCTCGAATACTAAGGCCTAGAATATAATAAACTACGGACTAACTAAAGATGGATCCGAATCCAACAGTTTATCGATCCTTATTAAATAGATTACCTGAATAATTAAGAGTCAAATTATACTAGAAAATCTTGTTCTTGTCTTCCCTCAGAAACATTAGCAACTCATCCACATCCACTGCTTCAGATGTAATGTAATAAATGCATAAAACTGAAAAAGAAAAAATTGTCATATTTGAAAAAGAAGAAGATTATGGTTTTGTTAGATTTACCAAATACTAAACTTTGAACCTAAAAATTGTTACTTGGATTGTTCAGAGCTTCATAGCTCTTAAGAAATAATATTATGTATATATATTGCAGATTTTCACCAAAAAAAATAAAAATAAAAAAATGCCCGCAAATTCACGTTTTAAAGCTTTTTCCAGAGCATCACGAAATTGTTTCATATTAGTGATTCTAATTATGTCAGAATAACTGAAAATTTAGAATAAATTAAGAAATGTAAAATAGATTTTAGCCATATAAACATGGATTAAGTTAAAAAAAAATAAAAAATAACTTACTTTTTGATCGTCGGAGTTCGAGGAAGTCCTTTGTCTCTCTCACTAGGATACTATAATGGGTTTTTTCTTGTTCGCAGACTCGCGGTTGCTCAAAGAGGGAGGTACATTTAAGGCTGTTTGTAAGGTTAATTAGTATAAAATAAAATGTTATTACCTTTCAATATTTTTGTTCTAAACGTTTCCATCTTTTATTGTTTTGACATTTTCATCTCTTTTTTCACATTTTATTGTAAAAAAAATGTCATTTTCACCAAATTTCAATGTAAAATGACTAATATACCATTCTATTTAAATAAAATAAAAAATAAATTACAATTTTACTCCTAAGTTTTTCAAAAACTTACAATTAACCTCATCTGGAGCTACCGGCCTCCATGATCCATCTCACCAACAATTAGCCAACCATTGCCTAAAACACTGGAGTTCACACCACAAACAACTGCTATCAACCCTCAGACACTTTTCCATAAAGAAATTGAACAAACAACAAATTTATATGGTCAAATTAATATAAAAAAAAAAAAATGCAACTTATCAAGCATGCAACACGCCACCTTTTTCGTCAATTTTGACGCTGGCAGTGGTTTCCACTTCACCACATCACGCGCCACTTGCTACAACAATGAGCTTCTATCAGTTTTATTCTAATATGCCCCCCAAAATTTTGGTTAATTATTGCCCAATAAAAAAATTGTAAGTTGTTGCTGTAGATTTTGATTTTGTACATCTGTTGATATTTTAAGGACATGAAGAGATGTCGTCTAGTGAGTATAATTGATTGGGGTGTTAGGAATGGCATGGGTCTTGTCAGAACATGTGGTGCCACCAGTATTTGTATTTGCGAATTAGGTATTTTGGCTTATAATTCCGAACAAATCTATTGACATGAAAGTTGGATGTTGGATGGTATGTGTAGAGGGGAAGTGAGAGCTTTCATGTGATATAGAGGTCCCACCACTGGCGGAGCCACGTTGGGTCACTTGACCCACCAACTTAAAATTGAGGTTTTTTTTTAATTCATGTATTTATTTATTAAGGAAAATCATATTTGAAGCAGAAAAATTCTAGCCCAAAAAATTTGAAAACTTTAAATGAAGTTTTAATTTTTTTAAAGAACATGAAAGATTCATTCATCAAAAGTTATATACCTCTTTTTTGGGGAAATTATTTCATTTTTATGATTTCTTTCTGTTTTTTCTTATGAAATGGAATTAGGGATCCATTTAAGTGTTCCAAAATTTATTTTGTTTTGGCGATTTTATTGTAATGAATTCTTGCCATAATTTTTGTCTTTATTTGAACTAGAATGCATTTGATAATTTAACATTCAAAATTGTTGTAATTTTTGTATTTTTCTCTTGAATTAATTGTGATGGAAAATTATTTTAAACGTAAATATGTGTGTTTTTTTTTATGATCACGATGTTAATTAAATAAATATTTGAGATAAACGTGATGAAAATGATGTTAAAGATAAAAATTATGACAAAAATAGTGGTATTCATATAAACGTGAAGCTATATTTTTTTTCCAAGTTTAATTGTGTCCCACTAATTAAAAATGTCTGCGTCTGCCACTGAGCCCCACGATTTGGGCGATTGTTGCTTGGAGTTTTTTTGCTTCAAAATTGGCAGCCCCATTTGGTGATGGAGGAGGGAGAGAGAGGAAGAGGAGAATAAGAGAAGAGAGAAAGGGTTTTTTTTTTTTTAAATATATTTTAATAATTTATTTCGACAAATTTGTACTTTTTAAAAAAGAGTAAAATTGCAATTTGTTCTTTATTTCTTTTCTTTTGTTTTCTTTTTTTAATTTAAATAAAAGAGTATATTGATCCTTTTATGTTAAAATTTGAAAAGACGTTTTCACAATGAAAGGTGAAAATGCAAAAAATGATAGGTATAGATGTTCTACACAGTAATATTGAAAAGTAGCGACGTTTTGTACTAATTACCCGATTGTAATAGAGACCAAATTTTACAATACCGTAATTGCCCTCGTTGGCTTTTGGCCTTTTATGGCTGGAGAGTACCGCAATGACATATATAACCCTCATGTGGTTTCATTTTAGGTGCGAAATGTGTTATTCAATTTTGGTGTACATTCAATTAATTATTGACATATCATCAATTTAGTGGGTTTAATGAGGGTAATTTTGAGATATCATGTTAATTATTGATGATATATCATATTAACAACAAAATGAATAGCAAAATTGTATAGGAGATTCCGAGTCCCAATTCTAATAGTATTTTAATGCTAAAAATAATACGACTAGAGAGGAAAACCTTAACGTTATCCTATAATTGTACAGTTTTACTACAATTACACATGTTTGACAATTTTATTTTCACTATTTGACATAACAAATAATTTTATCATTAATAAATTTAACAACAATTATTCAAATCAATTATCTCAATTTTGACACGTCAAAAGTTGACAACCTGTATATACAACTCACTGAATTCATAATTGTAAGCTCATTCGTTAACACTGAGATTTGGTACTACTCGTGTTATTGGACATTGTGTCACTTTGACATTACTTTTATATTTATTTTTATTTATTGAAGAATTTTGTGCAAAAGTTACTTTGATCAACTTTCTTTAAAAATTATTTTAACCCAATAAAATACTTTAAAAAACGTATGAAAACACGTGTAAAAATAACTTTTTAATCATTTTCACTCTTTAAAAGTCATATAAACGACTTTCAAAATCTCATATGTTACTTTTATTTTACTGATAACACTATTTATACATTGATAATTTAATATGTTGTTTTAATGCATTTTTGAAAATTCTATATTCTTGCAATGTGTATAGTGAAAAAATAAAAATGAATTGAAGTTTTTAATATTTTTGTCCAGAAGGTTGTGGTTTAATGTAAAAGTATAAGGGTTTTGCTAAATGTACATTAGATTGCCACTTTGATATACAGACTCCTCACAAGAGGGGATCTACTATATTTTTATTGGGCGTGGATGTGGGGCCCATTTTGTGGGAATGCTGTACACCGAAGTGTGTACAAATAACAAAATCAGAATTATATTTTGTCTAAGGTAAATTTAGTCAAATATATGTTCTCGCGCCCTATTTTACACCAAAGGGTAGGCCTTTGGACACTAGCTTTATCAGATTTCGAAATACAATATATACCTCAAAAGGCAGTCAAAAATCAGGCTTTGGCTAACTTCCTAACCGATCATCCATGCCTTGACATGCCTGAGGAAATCGAATTAGAAATCAACTCGTTTGGACTAAAACCTTGGGTATTGTATTTCGATGG